TAGGTGGCGGTAACGCGCATCTTCAGTTTTTTGCCAACCGCCATTAAACGCAAGAAGAAGAAGAAGAAGAGAAACATGTCGGCATCCCAGACGTCGACAAAGGTAGCTAATGTTCTGCGATTCAAAAAGGCTCTTTAACGACATTAATGCTAATTTATCATCTTGTTGACGCACGGTTTATTAAGTAAATGCATTTTAATGATAGTGTCATTTTCATCAAGTGTGTTTGTCGTCTATACTGCCTCTTTATTAAGCTATCTATGCTAGCAGTGTTAGCTTTGGTGTTGTTTTAATTCATTGTTAAATTAAATGTTGATGATTATTTAGTTTTAGGCCGGTTTTGTAAGTGCTTTCTTGCGCTGTGAAGTCGCTTCTTAACGTTTGGGGCTTTGACATGTTGTTCTTTTAATTTATGAACAGTTAAATATCCAAGTTAGTTGCAAAGTTTAGTTTTTCTTCGCACAAACCAGCACTTATTTACGATAGAATTTCGTGCAATTCTTAGCCCCCCTGATTTGCTGCCCCCCACATCCTCTTGAGTACCCAGGTTTTTCCTTTTTCAATTCCCCTACCCATTTAGGAATAGAACCTCATAAATATAAAAACAAACATTGATTTTTCAACAATTAAGAGTTAAAAACAATCATTTACATGTTATTAAAAAAATTAAAATGTAGCGCCTCTGAATAAGGACAACCAGTCTAAAACTAATGTTCTCAAACAAAGATGGAGGTTCTCAGGAGGTTATATTCATATATTTTTAATTAAATATTGAGTAAATAATTTAAATTATATATTAAATATAAAATTAGGCAGTATAGTGGCTGAGTTGGTAGAGCAACATATTGCCTCTAAAGAAAAAGATTATGTTTACACGTCCTCCCTGTGAAGGAGTGGGTTTTCTCCAGGTACTCCAGTTTTATCTCACAGACCAAAATCATATTTATTAAAACTAATATAATATCTAAAAAATAACTATAGAGAAGCAATTCTTGCAGGATGTGTGGCCTCTGTTGAAGTTAAAAATGATTGGATTGGTTGGCCGTGACATATGTGTATACCAGCTTCACTGTGAAGGGTTTGGGTTAATACTACAGTAGATGTAGTTTGTAATTGTGCTTGTTTTAGTCTTTATTTCCAGTTTTGGGGTTTTATAGTTACAGTTTTTCTTCACAAAAGTAAACATCAACAAGTAAATAAAACCTTTAACATACATAGAAGTAGGGTTGGGCATAATCGTATCGTGTGCAATTAATCGTCAGAAAAACAATCGATTACTTTTTGGCACTTGACGATTAATACGATTAATGCCACCAGGCAGAGTCCGCTCGGTGCTCCTCTCTGCTTCAGATATGATGAACGTAAAAAATAAGTTCTGTAATTTATTTATCTATCAACACAATTTATAGTTTGATGTACAGCCTGAAGTCTGTAATTTTGACACAATTTGGAACAGTTTTTTACGAAGAGCAAATCTTTCCTACTAAATTGGTCATGTGACAAGGACATAAGGGTGTCCAGGGACTCCAGGGGATTAATCGTCAAATTAATCGTTCTCGGCTAAATACCACAATTAATCGTGATTTATTTTTTTTGCCAATATTGCCCAACCCTACATAGAAGAGATAATGGCTTTAAAATTTGAAAAGCTTGTTCCTTGTAAATGTCTTTTATATATTATGTATATACTGTATATATATATATACAGTATATACATATACTCTATGTATATATATACTGTATATATATATATATATATATATATATATATACTGTGTATATATACTGTGTATATATATATATATATATATATTTAAATAAAATGACAGACATCACAGCAATCATGTTTGAAGGGAAGTTTCCCCATCACATTTAAAATTGAATTCATTTGAACCCCCACATTACTTCACTCAGTGTTTCTCTTGCTTAACAAATAAATTTACTCCACTTGATGTATATAATACTCACATCAAGTGTTTTCTTTTGTAGGTAAAAGTCTGTTTAACAACCTGTTAAATGGCATTTACTTCTTTCAAAATTTCCTGGGGGAGAAATATTTGTAATGCTGGGGGGACACACTTGTGGGGGGTCTACATGTGGGCCCCCCCAACATTACAAATACTTCTGATGCCACTGAAATATGTACCAATGTAAGAACGATTTATGGTTCTCCATGTGTRAAGATACAGAACATGTTGCAGAAGTGCAGATAGTTTTTTTTCTTGCCAGAACGTCACAAAATCAATAATATCCCTAAAAATAAAGATTGAACATTTGTTGACAAATCTGTAGATTTTATATTGCCATAGCTTTCAAATAGTCATTTTTTACAACCATATCATAAAAATTTTGTTATAGATATTAGTTTTGGTGTGCCACACCAAAAATCAACAAATCAAATCTCATAGGCAATAATTACTGTGGATTTAATAATAGTAAAGTGTGAGATTCAGCTTTAGTTGAAAGTAGCTATGAGGAATAAAACATAGTGATTGCTCAGTGATGAATGAATGAATAAATGAATGAATGAAAGCTAAGCTAATTAGTTGCCAGTGTGCAAAGCGGCCTAGCTCCCGCTGATGTTATGTATTTTCTGTAAACTGATTGGTGTTAAACTGTATTTTAAGGTCATAGATAAGGATTTTCATAATTATTTTAAGCAGAAAGCTGCTCTTTGAGCAGGCTAACAGCTGCAACAGACTAGCCAAAATAAAACGCTTAAATAGCTGAATGTAGCAAAAAGCTAGCTAAAGCTACCTAGCTGATGGGCAGACGAAGCTTCTTCCTTTTTGCAGCTGATGATTGAAAGATTCACTCATCAGTGACATCTTCTGGTCAGCTGAGGTATAGCAGTCGCCAACTTCAAAACTATTCGCTCTTTTTGATTCAAGCTTCAAAGCAAAAATAATAGTTTAGCTTTTTAGCAGCTGTTTCTAAATTAAGAGATTTATTGTCTACACACAAAACATTTTGAAATGTCAATTTTCTAAGAAAACATTGGCGCATATTGTCCTTGTTGGAAGATGTTTTTGATTGAGATGAGTATTTGTTTAAATCACCTCATCAGGGAAGCACAGTGCTGGTAGYGTCATGGTGTGGGCATATCAAWGAGTTTTGTAAGAAAATAAGCAGAATTATATGCAATGGCCAAGTYARTCACYTGACCTGAATCTGATTGAGCATTTCACTTGCTGAAGGGAAAAAAATACCCAAAGACAAGCAGGAGTTGTTGCAGTAGAGGCCTGGCAGAGCATCACCAGGGATGAAACCCAGCATCTAGGATTTTTCAATTAAATATTAAAAAAAAAAGTTTGATTTGAKGCGTTAATTTGTCTCATTATGTTTTAAAAAGTGGGAAGCACAAATTCAAACTGCTGTAACTAAATTTACTTATACTTATGGACCAGTAGTGGTATGTTTTTTGCTCATAGTTGTAAATGCTTTCAGAAATTACCAATTAAACCTTTTCCTTTGTTCTCTGCCAGGAGCYTCCTGAAGAAAATGGCAGTAAAACACCAACCGAGTTGTTTCCAGAGCAAAGAGAAGTAAAGAAAGGTGATTTAAAAGCTGCAGAAAAACTCATTTACTGTATTTCCTGTACAACAGATATCTTGTCTTTTTTCTCTAATTTCACTGATTTAAATCTCTGCTCTGGTTCTCCAGATGAGGCGACCTTCGCCTCGTCTGTCGCTGCCGACAACATAGAGCCCGTGTGTGGTGAGCCGGCGCCGCAGCCTGAGAAGGATTCATCCAAGGCTGCTGAGGACGCAGAGAAACAGTCGCCCGATTCTTCCCCGCTGACCAGACCTGCCGCAGGTGGACCTCGKTCCTTCTCTGACGGAGTTCCCGACTTGTTTTCGTTTTTAGTCACGCCTCCCATGTCTCGTCAAACAGGTCACGCAGCGAAGTCCATTTCATCCATGTCTTCATATCCTTCTACGTCTTCCACTCTGTCGCCCGGTCGGGCAAAGATGAGCGTCGCTGGACCTTCTACCAGCAAGTCCATCCTYTCACCTGCTCCTTCATCCTCCTCTTCCTCCACTACGGTTTCCCCGTCTCCTTCCGTCTCCCCCGGCCCGCACAAGATCCACCGAGCCCGCAAGACCATGAACAGACCTTTGATAGGCCAGGTGAGTTGTCTCTACAGTTTCTTGATTTTTAATGATTATTTTTGTCTTTCATTGTTATTGTTTTTGTTTAACAGATGAGTCAGGGTGAAGCTCCTGCTGCATCAGGATCCTCCACCGSTCTCACTTCTGACGCTGAAACTGGTTCGTTACGAAACTCACATTTACTAAAATTTACTCATTTGTCACATTAGATTTTCAAACTTGGTGCTCAGTTTTGTCACTATGGAGGATAAAAGTGCAAACGTTAGCAATAGGAGGAACATTTTAGGGAGGCTGATGCTCTCAGGATTAAAAACACTCGATTATCCGGTCATCAACAAGAAATTTAAAGAGACTGGAGAGACCTCTGAGCTCAAAGGACGAACGTCAGAAAGTTAATTTTGGATGCTTGTGATCTTTGGAAAGAGCTGCATCAAAAACGTGGATGTTCTCTGTGGGATAAATCTTGTGCCAGCAGGAATTGAATTTAAATTGCTCAGATCGGGCCTCATGCAAGAACATGTTCGTATTCTTATCCTAAATTTCTCTTACTTTTGTTCGTACAAAGGGTTCGTACGAACATGTCACGTCAGATTC